CAGTTATACTGAAGAAATTAAAAATAAATGTGTTCATCAGCACGTGACACTGGCAGCTGACCAGTGTCTCAATGTGTGTAACAGCCTGAAAACACAGTCAAACATTTACTGAATTTTATTGCACACATTCTTTCTTCGTTCCATTGGTTTGTGAGTTAATTCTTAAAACAATGACAAAGACAGGTGGGAGTGTTTATTAAAGGTTACAGCGTCGCTGGTCAGATTTCTCATATTGACTCAAAGCTCTGTGCGTTCAGCTGTGACTAACTTTTCATAGCATGTGGGAGAAGGAGTCACAGTCACGCTGCACATTTTAATCGTGTGACGCTGTCTTATATGAATAAATCTTTGTTACACTCAAACTGCTCTTATGACCAAGAGGTGTTAATCATGTGTAGATCTGTGTGCCATGCATTACCTTCCCCACTAGAGGGCAGCATGACAATCTATTCTAGAGTATAAATAGTCACTGAATAGGACTGAAGACAGTCTCAGTGAGGGAGGGGATTCAAGAAGTCAACATAGGAAATATTAACTAGGTTTAGTTTTGAAACAATCAAATATTTGTCTTTATAACAATCAGTCAATTTACAGAAAAAACGTCATACTTTTACTAATACTTTTTTTTTTTGTACCGATTTTGAACCGCTGGCACGTTTAGGTAGTTTAATGTCCACAGTTTAAATCTTCTTAAATAATAGATTTCATAATATTCTTCAGTTAAATTCATTATTATTTTTGACTGTCAGCTGAGGTGACTAGTTTGGCCTTATAGATAACACTCTAGTACAGATTCACTCATCTCATCGAAAAGTGTTTAAATTCATCCGAGGTGATTTTCCTTTTTGTTTAGATTCTTTTCTAGTGTTGGACTAAACCGTATAATCACTTCACAGTGCATCCTGTCATTTCTACTCAGACAACACAAATACAACATCTGCGAAATCATTGTGGTATCTGTCTTTGTTATAAACCAGAAGAGAGCGGGGGGTAGTGAAAGTATAGTGTGTGTGTTCCTGCATGTGGCTTGGGGGGGGCGGAGGAGGAAGAAACGTGAATGGTCTTTAAGTGGTAAAAGAGCACAGATGTGTGTGAGCCACAATCCCTGTTGAGATGTTTAGTGTTTGTTTGTTGTACCCAGCAGCCCCCTGGGAGCCTCTCAAGAGGTTATGGGTCATTATCGAGCTGGTGACAAAACTCTCTTACACAAGGAGAGGTGTGCGTGCTTAGTCAGTGTGTGACAAACTACACACGTACACAATTCACACTTTTGTTGCGTGATTTCTCAACTTTATCAGGCTGTTTTAAAACCAGCCCGCTCTTCAGACACATCACCAGTAAATGTCTCCTCTTTCCTCGAGTCACCTCTATTTAAACCTGCATTAGCGCACGTTGCTGGCGAGCGCTCGGCCACGGTTGGAGCTCTCTCACCACCTGCAAAGTACAGATGGTGCGTCCCGCCTCCGCAGACACCTGCTATGAAGTGCACTAAATGGCCATTAGTGGAGGGGGGGTAAGAAAATAACAAAGCCGACAGCGAAAGTGCTGGCATGTCATATCATATACACATTAGCCCGGCCAGATGGCCAGCCTGCTGGAGGGAGGGTGACACTGTAATCATTAAAAGTCATGTAGGTGGTTTGTAATCATTTGTATGAACACATTTGTGTTTATCATTTATTCTTCTTACTTTTGGTTTAATCACAATGTCAAACAATCAACTGTACACGTACTGGTCCAGAATGATATGAAAGGCTTGACATTCAAAAAAATTGTTTTGAATGCCAAGCACCTTTCATTTTTCTGCAGTTTACCTAATCTCAAACTTCAGCGTCATCAGCTTCTAGTTCAAACCCCTATGATTTGATATTTGATATATTACAGGGAAAACAACACTTTGATCGCCTCCCTAACAGCGAGCTATGGGCACTATTGTGAGCGTGGCGACTCGAGCTCCGTGAGGCAAAGGTTTGGCTGATTGCTCCTGCCCCCCTGCGGTGCTTCCTCCTGTGGCCACACACACACACACACACTGTTGTCTCCCTGGTGACCACGACAGCGCTGCAGGAATGTGGCTCGCTGTCTGGCCTTAAGGGCTGTTAACAACCGTTTAGTATTGTCCCCTCTTTTTTAACCAGTCCACAAACAAACAAGACACATGGGCACACTCCCCGTCCATCACTTCAGAGACAAGGCCCTGAAACAGACTTGTTGAGAATAGACATGTATACATCTGCCCGATTCAGCATAGGTGTTCTCTCTCTCTCTCTCTCTCTCTCTCTCTGTCTGTCTCTCTCTCTCTCTGTCTCTGTCTCTCTCTCTCTCTCTTCATGGGTTTTGGACAAGACTCAATAATTGTGTTATCCAGACTTATACATACTGGGCAGCTCAACTCTCTACAGTGTAGAGAGTTGAGCTGCCCTGCATCAGCCACAGGTTCGATTCCGACCTGGCCCTTTGCTGCATGTCTTCCCCCACTCTCTCCTGATTTCACAGTTACTCTTCATTGTTAATACAGGCAACATTTTCTTCAAAAGAAAATTGTAGATAAGTTTGAATCTTGTTTGTCCTGTGCAGTGACTCTCTACCCGGACCTGGACGAAGAGATCGATTTCCTTCAGTCTGTCATCGAAAAACAGGAAGTGTCAGAGATCAAAACTCCGAAGAAGCAGTCCAAACATCCTGGTGAGAACTAAGAGAACGATCTTTAGATAAAAATGTATGTT